AGAATTTAGTTCCAGTTTCATAGTTAATTCTATTAGACCACTACAATATTCAGTCAGCTTTTAAAAAGCATTTTTTTGATTATTCATTGTGAACAATGTAGGCAAATACTAATGTTGAAAAAGTTTGAGGTGCTACACTACTCTATATGGTACAGTTTTATATTGTACATAAGCAAATACAGAAGATTATTATAATTATAACGGCCTGTTTATTTGAATAAAGAGTAAACCTTTCTTCAGTCTTACTAGTCTGTGATTTTAATTTCTTTATGGGATGCAGACAATCCAAATGCTGTATAGTCTGTGATCAAACACAATTTTTATTAGCATATATTTATCTGTATTTATATAGGGACTACAGGTGAAAATTTACCATTTGGCTAACTCTGGCATATTGACAGTTATGTTGATAATATGCATTGTCCCAGTCAAATAAAGCAATAAACCAATGAACATCTCTATTTAAAGCCAACCTATAAAAATGAAATGACTGAAATAAGCACTTTATAAAAATGAAAACTGAAGCATTACTAAATGAATTAAAAAGAAATCATAGTAAAGAACAAAAACTCATTTTCTTTCCCCTCATCCTTGTAAAGTCTTAGTGAGTGCCCATGCTCAGCATGTCCGATTGGACTGCACTGGGCACAAACAGACGGCAATAGTGTTTGTGCTTGTTTGGATATTACATAAGCCGGGCTTACTGACTGTATGATTACACCAGGATCTTTTGTATAAGGTGCTTTCGAGTAAGGAATGATGGGGATCCTGCCGCGCATCCCAAGGAGTATGAGTACAGCTATGGGCGGTTAAGAGACATCGATTCACGTAACTGCATGAGGAACGTCACAGAACACGAGGCCTAGCAGGCAGAACTTCATTATTCATTACTTTGAAAAATATTTCCATTATCAACGGCATATTCATGCTCTAATTTTAAAAGATTTATGTAGGTTATTATTAGTCAGCTAACATGTTTCCACGTTTTTGTTTTGGCTAATTCAGGACGATGGTGGAGCATTCAGTCTCTGCAGCTCCCCTAACTGAAGCCACTTCCTTCAGAGTTACATGGACAATTAGAATAAGGATATTCTATTCTATTCTGTTCTAATGACCCTTATTCTGCTAGCCAGAATGGCTGAAGCTAGTCAGCAAAAAACTAGTGAAATAATGTATGAATGCAACGATATAGTCACTCCTGAACACTTAAAAAGCATAGTATGGAAACTGTTTGGATTTTAAATAAATGGCCTATGTTAGATGTCCATTGTCAATCATTTGATTCATTTTAATTTCACACCACAATTCACGCAACTTTGTTTTTGCTGCTGTTTTTTCAGGTCATTTAAGATATGCTATAGTCGACTGCTAGTTCCTGCAGATTTACATGGATTTTCGGATTATTAGCAGTAAACTGGGAATAGGCTACCACTTGTTGGCTGGTGTCCCTGTCCTGTGGGTAAATAAAAATGTGTTAATATACATTATTGCCCCTTAATCATTTTGGCTTAGGCTATAGCACGATGATGGGCTTGGCCAGTACTATAATTGTATAATCAATATTTGAAATTCTTCAAGTGATAAATCTGTTATAACAATTCAAATGCCTTTTTAAAATGAGCGTCCCAGTCCTACGAATGCAGGGAGGACATCTGAACCACGCATATAGAGCAGGGTCAGGATTTCAGCCCCATCACTAGAGGAGTGAGGCTACAGTTCCAGGCCACTCACTGTCCCCCTTGATATTCCCTTTATGATCGATGATGTCCATGACTGACGATCAGAATCAAGGGATCCAGATTAAGTGGTCCAGCTAAAATAACATGTACAGCTTCCTCGAGTCTGACTTTCTGATTACATTGTAATTTTAAATGAATTTTTCACTTTGTGGTGAATTCTAGGAGCACGCCTGCAACCACACATTTTTAAAACCAAAACTTAAAAGCAAGTAGAAATGAAAAATTCAAAAAACAAGAATAAGAACCTACCCAAGCAGTACACTGAACTAATGTTTGCATAGTAATTCCTTGCAGTGTTCTAAATTTATAAGTACTTTTTCAATAACAATGGATTTTTGCACAAGTACTGTCAAAGTAGAGGTGCATGGTTATCTACATAACTAGATGACTTGTTAACAAATCATTACAATGGCGTAAAGTATACCTTTTCCTGGGTGAAAGGGCCACACATTCACAAATTTCCTTATTTTTCTCATATTATATTATCCTGTATTTTTTGTCGCAGTTTTTGTTTTAAATAGTGCTTTAAAGCATTTTTTCTAAATAATTTGCAGAACATTAATTATTTAGGAAACAGAAAAGCATTATTTCTTCTCATTTCATATAGCTAATTTCTTAAACATACCATGTTATACTTGTATTACTCGAAATTCTGAATTGCTATTGCATGTGAAATGCACAAAAGGTGCCTGAGTCATGAGGCACAGGAAATATAAATTATTTTCTTTGTTACTACAGTGAACTCACAATCATGGTAGACTCTGAAAACGTAAGTGGAGTCCCAGTTGTGAGATGTGTACTGTAATCAAAATGCCAGTTTTAACAGCTATACCTGTTTTTATTGAACATATCACCTAAGGAAATACCTAAACTATTCTACAATCCCTAATGTAAAATCTCTATAAATCTGCTCAAATAATTAAGATCAATACAGAAATATTACAAGTCTAATTCAAATGTTAAGAGAATGTAGATTAGTGTACTTGTTATGTGTTCTTGGAAGTAACAGTTTTTCAGAGTAGGACGTATTTGGTACATTTTGAGTCAGTCCAAATGATACATAAATGACTAATTGCTTTGAAAAGCAATGTCACAGTCACAGAAATACTTTCAAACGCTGTCATGGTCTGAGGCATGAAAATGACCATTAAATGTGCAACCCTGAAACCTGAAAGTTTTTGTAGGTTTTAGTAAAGTCCTTGACATTTGCCATCAGCTACTGGAGGCTAGAGATGAAAGGGAAAAAATGTGTGAAGCATTCAATCTAGCAAAATCTAAATTTAAATAATGGTAAGGTGGCATTGTTATTTAATATTGCTTTTTACCTAATTAATGTGCAAACAGGCAGTACATTCAGTTTTTGGTAGATAAGCGTAGATATATCATGTACCATATAGGACTTAAAAAGGTTCATGGATTGTTTTAATGTTGTTAGTAGCTGAAGAATGGTCATTAATGGGGATTAATTAGAAACCAGTTTATCTTACAATAAAGAAAACATTTCTATACATGGAAGATGATGAGAATCTGGGATCAACTTAGCATGGGAGACTGGAGTCATGGTCTTTGGCTTCAATGCAATCAACATAAAATCAGCTTTGTTGCTAAATATCTAAATGCGCAAGATGGGCTAACTGACTTCCTCCTATCTCCTTAATTTGACTGTAGCCTTAACTTTAAATTCACTGATCTTGTATTTTGATTTACACAGATAATATTTTTGCTTATGAATACCTCTTATTCACAAATTTATACAGTAAAAGGCATCAAAAATGTGTTACGAATCAAACAATGTGTATTAAGATAGCAGAAAGACACTGTGTCAATATTAGCAACTTAAAATTAATGTTAAATCAAATAAATGAACTACAGACACAGCTTATTTTAATTAAATACGCAGATTACATGGGATTAATTACATGTCTACCTCATTAACTACTTAACTAATTATACAAATTATGTGAAATTATGTGAACAATTTTATTGCTGGCTTGAGACCACTCTGAAAACAGTACTTTTCTACTTTTGAACGTGCACAAATGTGCAGAAAGACATGAAGGATGTAGAAAATCCCTTGTGCAATAACATAAAAACTAAATATCTGGGGATGACTGAAACTCTTACGGACACTTATATCCCCCCAAAAATGTGACTTGCCTGCTGTCTTATGCCCAAGATCTCCATTCATATCCGCATTAGTTACTGTGTTAAAAGTATCAGCTACGTTAGCGTTATCATTACAAAATAAATTAGCATTATTCCTTAGTAACAAAAAGGCAGTTTGAAGACTCAATATGTAATGTAATAAAATGCACAAAAACAGAACCCACGTATAAATATCTATTCATCTTCTATATACCAATTATCCAGCACATGTATCTACATGTCATTTTCCCTAGTTTAGTTTTTTCTGAAGTCTTACTTATTTGGAAACATGGATAAAACTGAACAAAACACTGATTTGGATGAGACTATGTGTGGATGTTAATGGATACAGAATTTTATGCGTGATCATGCTAGATGTGGAAAAAAATAGCTAATAAAACCGGGTAGTTAATAATATTTTTGCCTGGAGCGATCAATTACCGTGCTTTAACGGGCAATTTTAAATTGCTTGCTAGAAATATAAGGATTTGCTGTGCAATGTGTTGGAACAGAATTCTCATTAAAGAGGAAGATGAAATCAAAACAAATTTGGTAAATGAACTCCCTGATTTATATACATGTGCTTCTTTCTTGCCACGATGCTGTACGTATTTCTAAATAACAATAAACAAGTCTCCATTCTGCTAGAATTTTCGAATACATAAACCATCATAACAAAAAAAGCAGAACTTGAAGGACCTTTAATGGTTACAGCAAGATCCCTTCTATGGGTCCAGACTATGGACGCCTCTATGACATCACAGCTCCAGCTGAGAGCCCACTGCATAGTTTACGCCTGGAGTCAATATTAGTGTTCTGCTCATAGCCAGGTGTGCACATGAATGGAGCCAATGCACATGCTGATGAGGTTAGCCTCCATCCACTCCGCAGAGCCAGTTGGGGTAAACAACAAATCAGGGAAACCCGATCTCCTCCTGGCCAATGGCATGCACTGCCTTTTATCAACAGACTGATGCTGTCTTTTGTCATTCTGTGTCCAGACAGTGGAGAGCATACGAGTCATGCGGGGCAACAGCATACAGGTGCAGTGAAGGCGGACGAACGTGACGCATACAGGCAACATGACAGAGGGCGGGGGGTTGGGGGCGAGCTTACCGATGCGGTCGAGCCGGTCGATAGCTACAGTCTCAAAAGCCCTCCGCATCATGGGATATTCTTCCAGCACCTCGTTGAAATGATCGACGGACAGCGAGAAAAGACGGCAGTAGGTGTCGGCGCGAACGCTGGCTGTGCGGCGCCCTTTAGTCAGCAAGCAGATCTCTGTGTGAGACATAACAGAAGCCTTTCATTATTACAATTAACAAATCAATACAAACCAGGCCACAACCTTATCCAAATTTAATTTGCAATATGCAGAGTTGTTTTACACTAACTGTAGTACAAAAGTCCCTTTATATAATGTTGAACTTACTGAGTCTGCGTAACTGAATGAAAGGTTTTGAATAACATCCTTTGATGCACTTGACGGAATGTGAATGGATTTAAACACTGACTCTCTACCAGACAGGTAGAATTTAAGTAAAACTGTGTACATGAACTAGTACTGAGTAATATGGCAATAATGAAAATATCAGAACATGGTAAGATATGATATGAAACATTAGGAAGTGAAATCATTTATATCTTTTTTTGAGGAACCACAAATTTCAGTTGCATTCCTTATTCTTTAGAGAAGACAATAAAAAACACAAACATTAAAAGCACTGACAATAACAACAGCATCTAATTCCATTATCTAGCAGTTAAATTACATCACTAGAATCCCTCTCGTGTCTACTGGGTATAACGACAGATAATGATTTTTTTCTATGTATGTATGTGTTATTTTTTCAGCCATGCCTGTGCCCTTTGCCAAATAAAAATGCGACTCATGTGCCAAAATGTCCTGTCATTTGTCTTGATACAAATCATATTCACAATACTTAAGTCAATTATGTCTTGAGTATCAGACATGAATTGGGGCATGTGTGATTACATTTTTTAAAAAAAGGATTCAGGGACACATTCTGATTAAGGACATTCCATTCATGACAATAATAAAAAAAAACAAATAAAAAAGTAAATTCCTGCTAAATGAATACAGATTCCAGTCTTGGTTTTAATGCCTGTTGGGAAAAAAAGACACATTTTACATCTGAGAAGTTCTCCAGCCCGGAACTGTGGGACACAGGCAGAATACCTAAATCACAATCGTAAAGGAAAGTACAGTATGTGAACAAAGAACAACTGGACAAAAGTTGATAACAGTTAAAACATAGCTAAGCATATAATAAACACAAAAACAAAATACGGAAGTATTCAAATAAGATTTAATAAAGTTTAAATTTGCCGTAACTGTTTTTATGATGATTATTAATCATTGGTTAGGTTTGGCAGCATTTTGATTGATGACATTGATTGGCACATTACGTCTACTGTTTAAATGTACAGTATGTCCATTTTAAATTGTTTCTGAATAACTTAGTGTACTCTGGGAAATATGTTCCATACATTGCATTCCTATTGTTAAGCAGGTTGAAAAATAATGTATCCATTTCTTTATATGCTATTAAGAGAGACGATTCATATACCTCCAAAATAAGATCCATCTGTTAGCTTAATCTCTTTATTGTGCTTTGTAATCACGCTGGCAACCCCGTGCTGGATGAAGTACATCTTCTTCCCCACAGTGCCCTCACGAATTATGTAGTCATTGGGCTGGAACACTTCAAACTTCAGTTTACTCAGCATGCTCGTCACAAAGTTCGGGTCAGCGTTGGCAAACAGCGGCATTGTAGCTACCAGCTTCCGGCAGTTGAAGTTCACAATTTCCTACAAGGAAAAACAAAGGTTATGCACGGAATTAGTTAAAAACACAAACACAAAACATGTAAACAATCTGACAACACCTATAAATCAAATATTATTATTTTTTTATTTTTCTAGAACAGGGGTGTGGAACCTGACCCATGGAGGGCCGGTGTGGGTGCAGGTCTTTGGGATGGCCTCTCAATCTGGCAATAACAGTGACTCCCCAGGAATGAAGCTGAGAACCACTGCTGCAGTATTGGATGATTGAGAGGTCATCCCAAAAACCCACATCCACACCGGTCCTCCATGGAAAAGCTCCCCTCCTCTGCTTTACAAGGTGCAAAGTTCAAGTATAAATTCCACTAAATGATTGATTTTCCATAAAGAGATTCCTTTTTGTAAACTCATCCCAAATACCAGAAAAAAATGGAAGAATATGTAGAGAAATTGGTGTTGATTTGTCTGAATAAGAAAAGTAGTAGAAAAGAATGTCATTCCTCACAAAACATAACAGGCACCGCAGCCACACTCATTAAATTTCACCACCAGCTCAGATAATTGATAATCAATATTTAATATTTCTAACAATGATTAGTTAAATAACTAAGTACTGAGTAGTCAAACAAGGTGCGCTAGTGGTCGAGTCAAGAAATACATGGTTGTATTGTATGGGGTGACTTTAAGAGAGGTTTTGAAATGGTTATGCTGACACACTTTGAAAGACAATATTATAGTTTTACAACAAAATGTTTAGTGTATTGGTTTGATTATCAAGTGATTGAAACTGAATCAGGTAAATATTTCAGATTTATTAAAGATCTGTACAAAGATCATAAAAAATCTGCAAACATGTTTGTTAGGTTCATGTTTTCTCTCCATTATTCTGCTCCTCTTTATTTTCTTTAGCTTTTTTTCTGTCTTAATGATAATCTTCTTGCTTCCGCTCTGTTCAACGTTCAAGAATTTTGTCTTATTTGATTAATAATTAATTTTAATAGGTTTCTTGCAAGCATATTAAGTCTGTCTCATTTTAAAATGTTTTGTCACATGTTTAACTTGCACTCTGCCATACTTCTGATTATTAGGCTTCCTCCTTTGGCTTAACAATTATTAATCAAATTGTGTCAAATAGCTTGATTCTCCCAGGGTCATTTTCTGAAAAATTCCATTACGCTCGGTGGAAAATCGATGGCCTTAAAAGGGCATATGCATCTATAAATGAAAAACTAATAAAACATTATTTGCATGGAAATTTCTGGAACTGCTGCTAAAAAATGCTGCTATCCCAAGAAAACCAGTTTAAGAAGCCTTGAGTCAGATTGATAGAGTACTGATTGATTTTCTATAACCATACAGCTGGGTTTAATAATGAACAGAAATACTTTCAATGGTTTTTGTTGCATTATTGTTATCAATGAACAAATATGGCACCAAGCAGACTATCTATAACTGAGGCTATTTAATAACTATTGAACACATTCAATAAACTGCCCCCCCATGGTCACAGAAAGTTCGAAGTATATCCCAGGATGCACTGGGAAGAAGACAACATGCATCCAAGCGTGGATGTCAAGCTATCACGGGGTTGACACCTATACACCATAAGGACAATTTAGAGACATCACTTAAACCGAGGGCGTGGAAGAAAACTGGATACCCAAAGGTAATCCACATGAACAAAGGGAAAAGATGCAGATTCTGCACAAACACTTACAACACTCATCCCTTAACTGCTTATGGTAATAAATAGCCACTGCCTAATCAACAGGTCCTCCAAAACAAACGAAACAAAAGCAACTCCAGAGAGTACAAAACCCAAAGCCGTCAAAGCAAGATGCCACTTTACAGAGCTGACTTGAATATTTGCATCAGAGGACGTGTATTAGAGCAGGGTAAGCTTTCAGTGGGCACTATACATTAATATAGAAGACGACGGTCTATATTTTTCCCAAAATGTCATAACAGCCTAGCCTTGGTGAGAAAAACACCAGTTTTAGCTGATCCTTCTCACCTGTCTTTTGTCTTGACAATTTCCATGCCATGCCAGAAACAGTTTTTTCAGAGGTTACTAGGCAAGAGAAAACAGCTATCAGTGGAGCCAGGAAAGATGAGCCATACAGACTCCTATAAACGGGCAGTCTACAAAAGCTGTAACAGCATCATCTGGCTAAATGGTATATTATTCTGTCCACCCCATGGTCTTAACTGGGATAAGTGGCTGGATGATATATGGATGGATTTTTCCATTATGGAAAAAAAACAAAACAACTCTCCCATAACTTTGCAAATAGTATCATTTAAATACCATCTTCAAGGAAGCATTTCTATTTCAGCAAGATTTTTTCTTTTTCCCTGATTTGGTCTCTACTAAATTATCCAATTTGTCATTGCACACGGACATAATTTCTCATGCAAATAAAAGCAAATCAGACTCATTGCACGAGGGCGCGGAAGAGGAAGTCATTTGTATATGTGGGGTCATCTGCCACCTTTTGAGTTTTGCTTACATGTACAATTATATTATTTGCTGGAAAACCACGGGGCATCATTATTATACACACAGCTGGGAGGCTGAAATGGATATGACTCAAACTATGCCTTATATAACACAATTTTATATAACTGGTTTAATTCCTTGCACCATTAACTCTTAAAACTATGCTATCGGATATGATACAATCATTGTTCTCATCATTCAATCCACATTCATGTTTTAAAGAGCTTTGTATCTGATTTATTAGCCTAGATTAATTGTATTTTTATAATTATTTCTCATCTTACATATTAGATAGATAGATAGACAGACAGACAGACAGATAGATTTTAGCTATATATTAATTTACGCATTCATTCATGCGTTGATTTAATTTAATTTAATCATTGTTTATACCCTTTCTCAAGGCACCTTTTACTGCGTCATCAGTGCCCTATTCAACCTATGCATGCTGAGCCTCAATGGGAAAAAGTAAATGAATGTTAGTCCCCATCACTCTTTTTTGTCCCTTGCATCATTAGCTGTTTAATTTACCGAAACCGAGACCGATGACTTGTGCTCCACAAAGGGCTCTTCATGAACAGAAACCATTTCTAATTGGTCACTGTGCTGGAGAGACCGATTATAGCATTAGTCCCTTTCCTGCATTGCAGTAAGTCATGATTAAATGTGCATCTGCTGTGTAATGTGGATTTCCAACATATATTTTATGAAACATAAAGAAAACGCATGGATTTAAGGAAGTTATTTGTTAATTACTAAGCGTTTTCCTGAACTTCAGAATGAAATATACACATGACTGTCAATAAATCAGTTCAGGCATTAAATTATTAATTTCAGTGTACAGGAAAAAAATGAGAAACTATTGCACTTTTCACAGTGTTTGTATATCATGTGCAGTACTTTCTTCACAATCAATAGTTATGTACCAAAAAGCAATAACAATACTATATATTAAATACTTCTAATTTAATACAACTGGACAGGTTAAAGCATAATCAAGTAAAATAAAAATAGACAATGATTAATGCAAGTAGTACGATAGCAAAACTGATTTTTTTTATGCAGTGAATCTCAATGACAAAAGATACTGGTGAACACAAAAATGTAGATTTTTTTTGTTGCTTTTCTTTAAAATATAATGAACTTCAGTTGACATGATTTGCACTAAACATTAAAGAGGCACCAAATTGATTTTATATTCCATAAATAGTTTGCTATACTCAGTATAAGGAGAGCATCGTTCCACTAGATCCTAGCCAGAGAACAGCAGGTTGTGTTTTAATACCACAGGTCAGACATACTTAATAAACTCGCCTATCACTGGTCTCTGATTACTGCCTCTAATTAAGTCAAGTGACTCTGTTACCAAGAGCTGCTTGAGTCCTGCTCCCTAGGTGGAATTTAACGCTTCGTTCTTCCGCTGTTCCCCTTAAGCAGATAATGAGCTCTGTCTCAGCTAACTCTCTTCCCACCGCAGACATCTCTCAGGCAGGCCTCTTGGCTCTGTGGGTACCTCTGCTGTCTCACACCTCCAGGACTGAGGCTCTGAATCTCATTTCTGCTCTATGTGTAAAGTTTCCTCTGGGTTCTCTGGTTTATTTTGCAATTAGGCAAACTGATATCTTTAAATTACCCATAGTTATGTATGTGCCCCTGAAATGGACTGGCATCCCATTCAGTGTTTACAAACACACACACACACGGGCACACACACACACACACACACACACACACACACACACAGCTTTGTAATTATATTTTTGTGGAGACTCTCCATTCATTTTTGTGGGGAAAACTCTAATCCCAACATGAAGACCATAACCCCTACCCAGTCCTAACCTTAATCATAAGTAACTAAACCAAACAAAATACAAGTCTTTTGGTATGTTTAGTTTTTTGATTGCATTTACATATTTCTATAAAATTGAATTTCCCTTTATGGGGACCAAAAAAGGACCAAAAATGGTCCCCACAACATCAAAATAATAGGTTTTTATCACATTCAGGGGACACACAATGTATTGTATATCTGACCCACACACATACAGTAGGTAGTACTGTTTAGGACCTACTTCAAGGTAGACGAGTTCAGAGGCCTTTTTGCACACCACTGTCATATTGAGCTGTTGTTTTTGCACTTGTGGCCTTCCTGTTAGCTTTAACAAGTCTGGCCATTCCCCTCTGACCTCTCTCATTAACAAGATGTTTGTTTCCCACAGAACTGTCACTGACTGGATGTTTTTTTCATTGTTTATTCTCTGAAAATGCTAAACACCGAGAGTTGCTGAAACCACCATGTCTGTCAGCAACAACCGCACCACAGGTGAAATCACTTAGATCATGCATCAGAGCCGTTCCGATGCTTAGATAAACAGTAACTGAACCTCTTGACCCCGGCTGTACAGTATGTATTCAGTTACAGTGACATGATTTTCTGTTTGGCGGAGGAAGGTGACCCAAGCAAACGAGCCATTGAGAGTATGTGTATACAGAGCATTCTTCTTTGTGTTTCTTATGCCACAATGGCTAAGTAGGTAAGCATGAATGAAAACACTTATTAATGCCATTCAAGGGGAAGGTGACCATCGGAAAAAGGGCAGCCTGTCACAGAAGAAAGAGGTTTTCATGATCATTAGTCTCACTTGTCACTCATTCCAGGAAATCTACTTACTACTGTTTCATAATTTGTGTCATTGAAAAACCCAGCTACAGGTTAGAAACATGTAACCATTTTGTTCTTCTTTGACTACATTGCTTCTCCCCCCCCCCATGCTTCCATGTGTTGTATATAACCCTTCCTTGTCCTACTCTGCCTTAAGTAACCCTCCCCTGTCTGATTTCCATGTCACGTCGTTTTGTATGGAATTCCAAATGAAAGGATTCTCAAAGTCACTCTACCTCTTTCAGTGGATCATTCAGCTCACTTAAAATATTATCTTCATCAAAGATCTTGCCCTGATAGCGGTGCTCATAGTAATCGTGTATCTTCTGTCGCATATCTGCAGGTAGCTTGTGGAAGGACATGTACTGCTCCACTTGCTTGTACTGTAGAGGAAAGAAAGAACAGACTGTTTAATTGCTATAATGAACTGAATTAATCATCTAAGATAAAGATAATGCATACAAGTAATACTGTCTACTTGAATTACATTGATTGAAAATGTTATTGTTGTACAATGTACACATACGCAACTACAATGTGATTATCTTGAACAAACTGAGCCACATTATGACAATGACAACCACTGCCTGAAACAAAGATTTGGCATACAAAATCTCACTGGAAAGTAACTCCATGATTCTGCACCTTTTGCATTTAAAAAATGGGTTAATAAAAGTCCTTTGTCTTAAACGTTGCTATTTTTGTTGTAAGATGCTTTATCTACATTGGTCATGATAACCCTGTGATGGAAACTAATCTGATAACAAATGATAAGAATATGATTATGAAAACAGGAGCAGCTTTTCTTTTAATTCATCGCTTGAGCATCCTCTGGCATGTATTAACAGTGCGTTTTGCATTCAACCACCTTAAAACCATTTGCCCAGCACTGGGACCCTGGGGCCTGCAGCCTATCGCAAGCAGCGAAGCAGAGGTACCCCCCCCCCCCGATGGAATGCAGATTCACTTAAATGCATGTTTTTGGGCTGTGGGAGGAGACCAAAGCACCCAGAGGAAAGTGGGGCATCTCGAATGCTCGGGGTGTAAATCCCACTCCTCTGAGGAGTGTAGAGATTGTGTGTTTTCCCCGTCCTACATGGGTTTCCCCTAAGTCGCTGAAGAAGAACAGTTCCCACTAACTGGAGCATCAGTAGGTGTAGCAGTCACAGCATAAGCTGGAAATGTGCTGCTCCCTGCCTTGCCTGTAGGAGGCGATAATGGTTCCTCAGCTGACTTCGCTTTCCCTACTGTCAATCAATAGGTAGAATTTAGGCCCTCAGCCACATAGCTCAAATTCAGTGCCTTAACTGCATGGGTCAGTCAACTATTCCAAAAACTTTTCTATTTTAATACATACATAAGTCATTCCTCTCAAAGAGCATGACATGGCATAAATAAAAAAGCAAATGCAATTTAGAATATGCATGAATGAATATTAATTCAGTCATTGAAAGTGACTTGCTAAGATGCCGTCTTGATCATTTGCATATGGGACATATTTGAATCACTGTTGGCCTCAGCCTGAGCAGCTGTCATGAATCCAGCATGTCTCTGGAACGCATCTATGATGGTTTCAGAGATGCTTCTGTTGCAGCTGTGGAGATTATTTCGGCAGGGGATTAAAACTACAGATTCTGTGCTTTTCTGATGCTGAAGAAGCAA